CAAATAAATGTCGAATTATAATTCAATCTAAAGTTAAGCTGATGGAATTCGTGGATGAGCATTTTGGAGTGATCTGCTCGAAAACGGGAAATGGCAATCTACTCGAACCATTTGCATGTCTTAGGAAAGTAATAATCGAAGAAAAGGTGCTAATTTATAATTGCCAGTTTAAAGTTACAATGATTTTGAAGTAAATTTGATGTTTGAAATTGCTGACTTACAGATTTAGCAATTTTTATACCATTAATTATTACAAAATAACACAGATTATGAAATCTGAAAATGATCGTGAAAATATACTTTTTTTATCCCAAAAGTTTGCTTAAATTATTATTTTATAGTTCTATAAGATTGGAATAAAAATGATTTGATTGTTAAAAAGGATTATGCAGAATTAACAACTTATCAATTTAATTTCTATGGTATCATTATTTCTCCCTTATCTTAACAGTTCATTGATCTTTAACTTTGCATTGCATCCATAACTTCTCAATCTCAATTTTTTTTGAAAAGATTCAGGAAGAAATAAGTTTATTGTTAACGATACTAACAAGAAGCAACAATTAGCAACATTACAAAGTTGATGCCATAAATGATGAGTATCCATTACAGGAATGCATCGGTATCATTCAACATAATACCTCCACTAGCACAATTCATTGTAATCAATTGTCGCATTTTTTTGACTGCTTATTCGGTGCTCTACAACGGAAGTGTACCCTGGAGACACAATTCTTCTTTGCAGATATAATCATCAATTTTGGTTGCACTGCTCATTCAAATCATTATAGATGTTAGCAGATAAATTTTCCCATTATTTCGGCTATAACATAAATTCTGATTAAATATTTCATTTAGAAATTTAATTTTCGTGTAAAATTTTGAACATTTAGAGGCAGCAAAAAAAAGTGAATGATTAGAATGTGTTAACGCAATAATGATTAAAATGATTGTAAAAAATATAATCGATGGATGTATATGGAATGTTGTTGAATCTAGTCTCTATCAGATTCTATTACTTTTCATTTTTAGCAAATATGGGAAGAATAGTTACGGAAGAAACAGATATGAATCAAATCCGGAATAATGCATCATTCGAAGAACAAACGATGAAACCCTCAATTGCGCCAAAAAAACATTCGGTGATGATTCTAGACGGTGAACTATTTTCCTACCAATTATCCATGGAATGTACTAAAGAAATTCAAGCCAGGATTCGATTCTGTGTCCAACCGCTGATGCTTAGCTGGAAGAAAATGCGACAACAGAGACCGATGTTGAAAAATGTATGTTAAAAGGAATTATTATTATTGATACGGCTATCCTGGATATATTATCATCATAACTTGATATCCATGCCGTATGAACCTTTGATTTATTACATCATAGAACAACATATAGAATGATGCAACAATCAATAATTTGCTCCAGATTCAGAAGTATTTTTGTCAAGTATTTAAATTATTAAATCCATGAACTGATGGACTAAATCATTTTAATTTGATTTGATGGATATATCACTCATTGTTAATAATAAACTTGAAGGTATCGTTCCCTATGTATAAGTATACTCGACAAGAATTATTAGAACTTTGCGACGGTTATGCAAATACATTTATGTGTGCTGGCTTTGAATCGATCACGATTTGTCTTAACGACGAATTGGTTCGTTGACACCTTTTATTTTTCAAAATAATTAAAAAGTAAGTCAAGTCAAACGAGGCTCTGCGTAATCCAAAGCACCGACATTAATTAGTTGAAAAATTTGCATAAACTCACAAAAATTATTAAAGCATTACGACGGTTATGCAAATATATTCCAGTCGTATTTTGACAATGCCAACTTTTACATAAGTTTTGCAGTTCTGAATCTCATCTTCACTGAAGTGTGAAATTTTTCATTTGAATGAATGAAGAATTGAATTAATTGAACTGTGAATAAATTCAAACTTAAATACAGATTCGATTTGCCCGAGATCACTTCGGATACATTTGTACTCCGCAGAATATTAACCGTTTCATGGAACACTATGAATGTATTGCGGAAGTGACTACCGCTTACAGTGGAAAATGCCAGATGTTTATTACAGGTGTAGCAGAACCGGGGAAGGATCTGGTAAGTAGCTAATTAGTATCTCGTTTGCAGGCTAATAAATTTTTTAAGAGTGGTTTCAAAATTAAAATTTTTTGGAAGTATTGATTTGACCGACACAATATGCCCATTAAACCAATATTATGAAAGTAATAACAATTCCAGAAGAAATGTCGTGGCATCCGACAATACTATAACTGTATAAAACCTGAAATCATACGGAATTGTCGGAGTGAAGCGTTGAAAGAATTCAAAACATCAATAATCGAATATGGCTGTGATTTGAGTCTCAATGACTTAGTGCTTTCTAATCAGTGATACTTGTATCAGTGATACTTTCCGGAGTATTGTTTGGTTTAAAGGAATATGTAATCAGTTTCAATTAATCCATCCTATGAGATTTTTCAACTTTGATTTTCAATCAAAAATCTTGTTATTGATACTTTTACATATTGATAAAGCCTGGCGCTTTCATCACCATACTGAATGGAAAAAAAGTTCTGCTATTGGAAATCAAATATCTTGACTATCTATAACAAAGCTGCTGTTTGTCTAATAGAAATGAAGCGTACTCGTTGTATTTAATGGCTTTAGACCCTACAAAAGATAACATATCGAAATTTCTGCAGCTTCCAGTATTGGCCAAAGTTTCACTAAGCATTAAGCACGCAATGTAATACTTGCCAGTACAATATCTGGCGTCTGATCTCAACCATCACATTACTGTCATCTTCTACTTTGTATACTGTCTATGCGCACATTTTCTATTTAATTAATTTCTTTTTTCGAACTATTCCGCTTTAACCCTCTTATGCTATTTCCTTTTGACAGGCTTTTGCAAAAGTCATATATCGAAAGTTTGCTTGTCTTAATATTCTACAGCAAACTGATTCCCTTAATTTGTTTGGGCAAGGATTGAGTTAAGAGTTTTAAAATATTTGTTCATCAGAAAGTAAGCATAAAGCAAAGGAACTACACATTTCGTCCAAAAATAATTGCTTGCGAATAGCGGAATAACCTACGAACAAACTGGCTTTTCGGTTTTCGTATTACTTTGATAAAGGATAGTTGCTTACTAAATTGTCACATACCGAGTATTTATTCTTGTATTTAACATTATGGAATAGAAAAATTATTACATTCACATTGCTGAAGTCAGTCATTTTATATGATGACAATATCTTGTAACTTTATTGTAAGTTGTGCTAGCAATAAGGCATTCAAGTATATGCTGAAATACTAAATTTTTCTACCACTATCCTCTGAAATAAATTTCAGTCAGGTCAATCCACCTTCAAAATGGAAGAAGGCGAAATCATAGGCCTTTCTTGGGTTATGCAGTGACGATTTATTCGGGTATTCATGGTAAGAGCATTGGTGTAGATAATAAAAGCAAGATATCACGTGAATTGGAAAATTCCAGGAAAAATCTGGGTAATCTATCCATAAAATGTTACATTTTCCATCTTTTTCAAATAATTCTTGCTTTCCAGCAGGAATTATTCACATGCAAAAGTTCTTTTTCTTTTTGGATTTCTCCAAAAGACCAAAAATACGAATTGCCGACTTTTCTGAATCATCCCGGGAATTGTTGTTCAGGAACGGATGCTCATATCACTTCATATTCCTATCATTCAATTTCATACAATCACTCTCGTAAACGGAAATGCATTTTATATTTCAATTACAGCCATTTAATGCTAATTTAGATGAGTTTTCCTCAAATTATAGCTATTTAATGTCAATTTATATGAGTTTTCTTCAAATTCTCTCTGCAAAACCGAAATGAAATGGATGAAAGTGTAAAGAACAGCGATGAGATCTGAGTCATCCTGTAATGTCTCATACACTAAGATCATTTAAGGCCTGGGATGGTTTAAAATTGGCTATCATCGAGGGGTGAGCCTAAGACTTGTTGTCATTATGACAAGTCTCTTTCCAAACAAGTTGATGCAGTATATATGCATGACTGCAGGGGGCTGTTGAGCATAATCTGAAGCTATTCGTGGATGGATGTGTATATTCCTGCTGTCGCCTGCTATGAATCTTCCTCATGAATGCTTTTATTTTCCCATGTATTTGATGTCCTCAATGAGTTTTCAGTTAGTCGCAGACACGGACACACATGCCGTGCATTTCTTGAGATTTAAAAAAAAAAACAAATTACAGGATGGTACAGACAGGCAAAATGACACACACACACACACACACACAACACGCACACATACACATACACATACGAACACACAGACACACATTCATAGACACATATAAATAAAATGACCTTTATTGGCTAATTTCAGAGCCATAAAATGAGGGAACCTGGAATGAAGCCAAGGTCCATTCATTCACCGCTACTGACCTTCCTCTTTCTCAATAAGCCAGACGATATACCCTGGCATGTGTTCTGTCGACGATGATTGTTATCCCCAAATGATGATTCATCCTGATAGTGCGAACAAATATACGTGTAGATGAATTTTTGGCTTTACGAAAATGTGAATTTTTAGAGTAAATTTGTAAATTAAGAAAAAAGTCCAGGAATTATGGTGCAATTATAGAAATGATGGTAAGATAAGGCCAGAATTGAACATTTGTCTGATAAAGACGTCAGTTGCTTATCGTCATGATTAGCTTAGACTAATGTGGATGACACTTTCTTCTTCAAACGTTTCAAAAAAGTTTGAAATGACCGTCAGTATCTCCAGGACCTTTCTCGGAAGTCTGCTTCCAGTCCTATCCCGTGGCGATTTATCCGAGGATACATGATCTTTTAAGTTTTGAATTGGAACATTTCAATGTTCATTAGCATAGCTATTTTCACATGGAAAATTTGAGTGTTAAAGTGAAAAATTGATGGAGGAACGCATGAAAGAAGAAGGCCTCCAACGTAGCAATTGTAAATCATCATTGTCAGGATAGAGGTCATTTGTTCTCTCCCGTGTGGTCCTGTCCGGGTGTCATTCTTCACCGGATGTCAATCTTTTGCGTCCTTCCCAAACATACCCTATTCATTCCTCATGGACTTTTAATGGTCCCTCATCATCGTTGTGTTGCCAGTTGGAATAAAAAAAAGAAAGAATTACTGGCATAACGCCAAAGGATTTTTCAAGTGTCTGGCCAATGAATAATGTAATGGAAGGATGGGTGTGTCCGCCTGTCTGTCAGAATAGGTCAGTACCGGTTGGTGCCACCGTCACATTTCGTCAGTTGATCTCTTTTTCCTCCCTCTTCCATTTGGTGACAAAAAAACTCCCCTTCCTCTCTCTCTCTCTCTCGAGAGCAGTGTCATCTTTCTATTGACTTCCATTGTGAAAGTACAACCGGAAATTAGCTTAAATATGTGGAAATTCAATCCAGTCCAAAAATACATTACTTCCGGAACAGACAAACAAACAGACAGACAGATAGACGGATACACACATTACAGCAGCAGCAGACAGACACACACGTTGCAGCAGCAGCAGCAGAAGCAGCAGCAGCAGCAGAAGCAGCAACGACAGCAGCAGCAGCAGCAGCAGGAGCAATAACAGCAGCATTTGGTGATAGTATGATGACGGATTGAGGGGATAGTAAATGCTTCTGCTCTAATGAATTAATTCATTGGCATTTAATTAGTTCCTCTACTGTCTACTTCCAAGAATGAAATCACTTCATTTACATATAAATTTGCAAGCGGAAAGAAGAAATTCTGAACTCATTGGCTCTCTCTCTCTCTCTTTCTCTATCTCTCTCCCTCTCTCTCTCTCTCTCTGGTATTCATTTCATTTTGTTTCAAGACGAAAAGTGTAAAGAAACATTTTCTTTTTTTGCAGGGATTTTGCTGTTGTTCGAAGATTTCTCAAAGGTCATCTAAATCCAAAGTGCCTATAAAAATGTATGTGTCAACAAGACATTAGGCAATAATCAAATGACAAAACATTATGTGCGTAGAATGATTTGGCAACGTCTCCTTCCAGATTCTGTTCAATATTAACTTTTCCACACATGCATTACCTATTTTGCCTCTTATTTGTCCCTAGTCTTACTGCAGTTGGCCATTCATGTGTTGTTTTGTTCAAATGCACCAAAGAGGGATAGTTGGACTTGGCTCATTCAGTCTTAGTTCAAAGAATTCTTCAAAATTCGCCAAACATTCCCGGAAAATAGCTATCGTGATCGAAAAAACTGGGACTTTTTCAGTCAATTTCAGTTGGTTGGAGAAGGTTGCGATTAAAGAGTGTGAAAAATAAAAAAAAGATAGTAGAATGATATGCAAATTTCTTTAAAAATAAAAATAAATTGAAAAATGAGTGGCTGATTTAATCAAGGAGGATATATTTTAAAAATTTCTTAAAAATTCATGAAAAAATTCAAGAAAAAAATTCAAATAATACCAACATTTTACTGGAGCCTTTTTTCTCACCATACGGTAATTAAGCCAAGGAAAGGAAAAGAATTTGGGTCAGAAATTTATCTGTGTTTGAAATCCCTTGTAATTTCAACAATTGCGCTTTCTCTCTTTTTGATTCTTCTGAGAAATATTAAAATTAGATTTTTTGTTATGAATGATTGGAAAACAAACGACCTTTTTCAATGATTGATGAAATATTTGCAAATGAAAGATAAGATCCACAGTACATGGAGATGATCGATTTTGAGATTCCTTGTAGTTCCATTTTCCTCTCCCCCGCCCCCTGCTAAAAAATATAGCTAGTAGAAATGAAATTAGATGAGAAAGGGATGTAAAAGAAGGCAAAGGATAAAACAAAAGCACTTAGTTGCACTTTTTCTTGTTTAGAATCTGACACAAATCCGTTTCCTTTCCTTTCCCGGAAATTTATTCCATCGCTTTCTTCTAGATCACTTCGAATTTATTAAATAAAGACTGAATTACAACAGGAAAGGGTAAAATAGAAAAAGGCACGACGAATTAGTATTACTTCTTCTTCTTCTTCATAATTAACACATTTTTTTTCAACATTTCATTTATGGATTGTTGAAAAATTTCTTTTGAGGCAATTTTTTCCTTAAAAATGAATTTTACCCTCATTATTTTTGTCCGGCCACTCACTATTACACTCTCGATAATGAAATTCGACTACTACTCATATACTTATTGGGCACTGGATGTAGTCCGTCCATCACCAACCTGTTTAACCTTTCAACCTTGTTTTATTTTTAAGCGATATTGCTCTTATCAAGAAATCGCTTGTGTGTATGTGTTTATTTGTCCGTCTGTTTGTTTGATAAAATATCATAGCACATGCTTGTTTCGGAGATTGCTGATAGATAAATATTAACTTAACTTCGAAATAAGCATTCAGTTCGACTACATCATTAAATTGAATGCTAATCCTACAATTCTAGATAATAGTGTAAAATACACAAACCGACTTCAACTGGCCTTTTCCAATGGAAAAATGAGCAAGCAAATATATATAGGGAAATAAGGGGGACACTCAGTCAGCAGGAATAACTTAGTGGATGTATTCTGCAATTTCCATAGGTAAAAGAAAAGTTCGTTAAAAAAAGCACCAAATCATTTCTCCTAACACACCAAAGAGACTTACAATGTCAGCTGACCAATTATTGAACTCTTTATTTTAGTTTATTCGTTGATTAAGTAATTTAAGATGCTGTAGGTAAAAATATTTCTAAAATATTCATGCTGAAATTGATACTTTTTCTTCCGAAAAAAAATGACACAAAGGGAAAGTAATGAATGCCGATCAAATCAATTTTCTTTCATTTTGAAGCATTTTATATTTAAGCCGGAAATACATCATTCCATAAAGAATATCTCTTCGGTACAATCAATAACCGGAAAAGTAATTCCGATTGGAAAGAACATTCATGGAAGAATTGTTATAAACGATGAAAAATCATTCGGTTCATTAGTGTCGCTGTTTGTACAATTTTTCTTGCAATTTTTATTCAAATCAACAATGAGCAAAACCGTTATAGTATAATACATCGGTCAACGATTGTTTGTCTCCTTTCCTTTCTTTGCATCTCCCCGACATTTCTTATAATTTCATTATATAACTATTCGATCGTTTTACTTTTCTTTAATATTTGTCAAAGAAAGATATGACAATGCATTCATTCCTTTCTTCTTGAATGATATTACATTAATATTAAATTCGATCATCCACTACATACTATTGTAGAATTTATTTGCCTCATTTTTAACCAAAGCAAACAGAAACATTTTTAAGAGATGGCATTTACATGTCCCATAAAAATACTTCTAATGGAAAGATTTTGAATCGAACCGTTCCAGTCTTGTGATGAAGATCTAAACATATATTTTGACAATTATCAAATCGAATGAGTTCAGTTCATTCTTATCACCACTACCTGGCTGTCATTAGCGCTACAACACATTGCTTTGAATTGAAATGTAAAGTGGGCTTAGAATCTCTTTTTTAAATGCTAAGTGACATCTTTGAAGTAATTTAATTATACGATTCAACATAATTTATTTCCTGAATTCAAACCAAAAAGAAAATAAAAATGAAAATAAAGAATAAGACCCCCTGGAACAATATCCACTGGCTCGTTTTATATCGCCCGACCAGTTGCCGTATTTGTTCATATTCTACAAACATTTCATGGAATTTTTGCAGACCAAATTGTTCGATATCATCTTAATTTCTCTATCAATTTTGTTTGTATCAACGATTTTGACCTCTGTCACCAAGCAGTAAGCAGATAGATTTAAGGAATGAATATATTTAAGAAAAGAAAGAAAACCGAGTATTCATCAAATTTTTTCTGAAACTTTTAAATGATTCTTCAACTACTCTTAAATTCTCGTAATTTCGTAAAGTTGAATCCTTAAAATACATCAGAATTCATTTGAATCAATGAAATTTATTCGAACAACACTGAACATCCTGACGGTATAGTTAAGTGGTTTGCAAATATCATATTTCATCAAATTAATTAAGACATGTTGTTCAATTGTTATTCATTCGTCTAATTAATGGTGATAAAATATCACCATGTTGATATGAAGTATTGATTCATTGCAATGCTCCAAAGAATGGAATTATTCATAGAACAGTATCAATCGAAAATGTTTATCAGAAATGGAGCTGAAATTTGGATTCATTTCAATTTTATGTAAAAATAGCCAGTTATCGTCCTTTATCACGAACTGAATGTTTTAATAAGCAAGAATAAATAAATTGATAACAACAAAGGGAATAAATTAGTAATTAAATGATGAAGCACATATTCATTCAATAAAATCGGATTTACTTCATAACCTTTTCTCCCATAAAATATGCATTTTTCTTGTTGTGCCATTGTAAGAATAAATAAGTGATCAAGTAAAACAATAAGGAAATATTAACTGGCTAGATAAACTAGCAAATAAATAAATGAGTAAATAAGTAATAAAGAATTAAACAGCAATCACAGCGAATTAATTTATTTCTTTTTATTTTTAGAATAAATTTCTGAAAGGATTTCACGAGAAAATTATAACTTCCCATTACTATCATTTTTTTATCAGTATGTCTTTTCCCATTAATGTTGTCAGTAACATAATTATTAATTAGATTCACAGTTTTACAGTATCGTTACCAATATTAGACAATTTTAACGTGACAATAAAGTACATGTTTAACACGTTTAATGTAATTTCAAAACGTGAACTAATTCGTTATGCAGTTCCGTGAGTAAATCAAAAATCAAATTAAAATATTTCGTTTTTATGTCATTATTATTTTCGAAACATTTTTATTAATTAGTCTTAATTCAATTATTCACTGCAAAAAATTTTGATACTGTATTGGCTCTAAAAACTTATAACGTAAATTACGTAAATTTAATATGCAATTATACAAGTAGAACGTTCCAGGAATTTGCTATTTTTTGTTTTTTGCTTTTTAAATCCATTAGCTAATCAATGACTAAGTGCTATTTTTCGATTGACTAATTTCATCCTCTTTGTTTGATCAATTATTTAACTCATATGCATGCTATGCAAGTCGCCTGTCCCATCACTTCGTATAATTTAAAAAATAAAATTTGTGGAGTGGAGTATGGCAAATGGCAGATCGCCAAGAGATCCAGACAGACATCATGCAGGCATGACAGAGGTGGGTACAACATTTCAGCAAAAATGTGAGTGGATTTGTTTGTTGTCTCGAGCACCTCCCACTGATACGAATCTTGAATGGTTTGCAAAGCAAAGCCTGAAAGGAAAGAGGTGAGTTATATGTGTATGTGTAGTACTGCTTTACATTATACAGGAAGTGGATCGCTTTCATGTCTCTTTTTCCACTTCATTTTCACCTGATTTCCATTCACCTCTTTTCATATAGCTCTTTGTTAAGGTTGAACACAACTTCAACACTAAGCAATTTCGTATCTTTGGTGACCTTCTAAAGCTTTAAAATGATTTTCAAACAGAATTCCATGATTTTCTTCTCGTACGTCAACTAACTCATCCGTTTTATGAATTAGTTCAACAATTCAATTTTGCCCATATAGCATTTGTTGAACAAATATCGATTGGTAGGTGATACAATTGCTGATCAGATCAGATATGTAAGATTTTTTTTTTTTAGTTTTGCATGCTGAAAAGACACTGATTAACTTAATCGTTTTGATCGATTTGAGAAGAAATGGCATGTCATTTCTATTTGTAGTGCTGGTCGGAACTAAAAGTTGAGAAAAACGATGTCGGCATTAGGTGGAATTTTTACAATGTAAATAGTACTACACAAGTAAACAAAGAAAAAAAAGAATAAAAAAACCAAACAAAACAAATGTTGCAAAGATTGAAAGTATATTTGTGCTTAGAATACTTCAAAAGTTTTTATTAAAATTAATGAATACTATTACTTCTACAAGTGTTCCTCACGTACGTTTGCAGTTTGCAGTGTGCGTTTTAGATAGATGTATTGTTGATTTCATTTTGAAAAAGTTTGTCTGCATTAAACTGGTAAGAAAAATTGCAAAATAGTTTAACGAGAATTAAGGCCAACGAAAAGTGAATCTTTTCACACAAGATTTTATACCTTTGACTAAGGTAATTAATTGCTGATGACAGAATTTCCAATTATGGAACTTTATGAAATATTTAAGCTTTGACAGAAATTTTGAGTAATATTTGCTTTGCCTTGAAATTAGCTATACATAAATGGAAATTTTGAAATATATTTCAGAAATGAAGTGGTATAAATTCTAATTTCAAATGAAACAGTATTGATGACATTAGCTGCAAATTAATTAATCTTCAGTATGTCGCAGTTCCTAACTTTTACCCATTTCAATTTTTTATTTTGACAAAAATTTTTTAAAAATATTTGTCAAGGGTGAAATTTCTTGCTTATATATGATTTCGATAAAATAAATTAGAAATCGTCCTTATTGCAGCCTCATAAGATGATGCCGAAGGAAGTGAAAAAAAAAAAACTAAGCGTTCCATAAATATTATAGGAATTGACTATTTTATGCACATTACTTTAACTACCAGACTAAAATTCCGAATTCTCTTTCGATGGAAAATAAGACATTTAAAGGAACACAAAACCTTTCATTTGTTGTGTTTAGTTGATTCTCCAAGATTTGGGTTGATTTATAGAAAAGCATCGACAAATGAGATCTCATTACATCTCTTGGTAGAGCACTTTTTTAAAAAGATTGAAATTTTTGTTTAGTCAACTTGCAGCAATCACTTTTCCTTTATATTTCTGTGAAAGAGTGGTCTGGAATGTTGTTGGCGTGAATTCTGAAATTTATTTCGTTTATTTTTGGAATGCTATGAGAACCTGTTCATGAAAGAAGGACAGTTAGTCTCTTGTCTTGTCTTATCTTACTGACATTAATACAAAGTGTTTCGAAAATTACCGCCGGGTATTATTTATGGAATCAGAAAAGTGCGCTGGTTTTAGATAACAAGCAAATAAATCAACGGAAAAAAAAAGTGAATTTGTTTGTCTTTTATATGTATGCAAAGTTTTTAATTAATTCTAATATATGAATAGCTGAAATGTTTTGGTCACTTTTTTTTTTTCAAAAACGAAATCCGACAATAGTAGCAGACAGAGAGAATTACTGTCCACTGCTACTGTGACATCAATTAGTCTAGCTAGTCTAGCTGACCAACAAACTATTTGCCGAAACTTTTAACAAATTTAACAAAACTATTTGCCGGATGGTGTCGTTAGCTTCTTTTTTCTGAAAAGATTGATGCATGATGGCTTCTCGCAATTTACACCATCATCAGCAACAACGTGTCAGATGAAAAGCTGACACAGAATGAAGATATTTCGTCAAGTAGCAGTATATTTTAGATGTTTTACTTATTTTATGGTCCCTTGAAATTGACATCGACAATGAAAACTCTTTCTGTTCCTGTTCCGTAATAACTTCCAGTAATTAAGTTGATGGCGAAAACTGGCGAAGTCTGGCTGCACTCCCAACAAAATTGTTCTCTTCCTCATTTTCTTCTTTAACTCTTGTTACATTCCTTTGCGCTCCTTCCATTATTATGCAACATTCTTCGATGACAAATGTCCTCTTCATAGCAATTAATTCCTGTACAGTGTACATATAAATATGACTGGAACGATTGGTGCACCATTTGATTCCTTAAAATATGAAATTTTTGAAGAAAAATATTCTTTCATTTTAGAAAAACAAAAAATACCACATAGATTGCAATGTTTCTTGTTTGCGTGATTAGAAAGTAAAAAAATTAAGGCAAAATACGACATCTTAGTTTTACTTGTACCGGATTCTGAATTACTGAAACATCTTAGTTTTACTTGTACCGGATTCCGAATTACTGAAACATCTTAGTTTTACTTGTACCGGATTCCGAATTACTGAATACTTTAAAAAGGAGATATTGACGTAGAAAAACAGAGTACATAAGTGAGCATATTCTGCTAACATATTTGCATTCCTAAACTTTTTTACATTCGTAGCATCCAATTCATTGGAGTGAATCAGTGGCGCAACAGACGTTTACGTCACTGTTGGAAAGGAGGGAAATGTTTATGCAAACGAAAAGTTTAGACATAAAAAAATAAGAAAAAATGGAATCATTAGGATAGAATTACAATATAATTTCGCAGACAGTGACTACTGTCCTTACTTGAACTGCGGCTGTTTTTATCATTCCAATTTATTGTATTCCAATAACTATCAAGCATATGGTCAAGGGAGAAGATAAATGTTGACCTAGGTAAAAGTATTTTTTTGGCCAAAATATCTGTAGCTCAGAAAGTGTATTTTTTACTTTTACATCTGACCTATTTGATATTTGTCAATAAGATGAGTAAAGTTGACAGAGGGGAAGGAAGGAATGCTTGGCCAAAAGCACAATGAGATAAAAGACTTGACACTGGCCATTGAAATGTTCTCCGGATCTTTCTTTCTCATTATTAAACAAGTTATGGCCGGAAAAACGAGAAGAGAGAGATGAGCAAGAGGTAAAGTTAGTTATAGTTCGGATTTACATCCGTTATTCACTCAAGTATGAAGACATTTTACACATAAGCCAGTTGTCCTCATCCCCGTCATTGTCACTTTTCCTCTTGCGCGTGTTTGAGAAATGTCGTTTGTCAACTACCGTTTTGTAAAGTATTCTTGTGAAAGACAAGAAATATTAGGGAATTTGAAGCGCGCTTTTCTGATTCCATCACTTTTTGCCTTTTACATTTTGAGTGAGCTCTTTTTGTCAATTCTGATAAAGCTTCTTAGGAGAGGAACTTCGACGATAAATGCTGCACTTTATCAGCTTTCTAAAGAACATACACATACACAGACATAAACATGTACTGACCAATATGTATAATTTATGCACTTATATGAATGAGAATGAATTACCGCAATATATAATTTTGGGAATGATGCAAAGATGCATAAACGAAGGAATAAAATGGAATATAATGATTATATGGTTTCTTTTTCCCTGATGTCTCTCTCTTACTGATTCTTTCAAACAAAGGTAAGATCTCAGCCGGGAAGATCTTAAATCATTCTACTTGGTCCAGTCCATCTGGTGAATAACATCATAAATTTGCAATCATAATTGCATGTGTCACTTATTTGTTGCACTGTTAAAATTCGAAGAACTTTTGCACCATAATGATTTTGTCACTGACAGATTTCAACATTTTAAAATTGTCTAACTGAAATAAATTTGACAATAAAATTTAAAAAAGAAAAAAATCTGAAATTTCCCTGTAACGGATCATTGGATTTCGTTTTTCCACCGATCAAAACAACAATTTGAACATGTGCTCTTTAATCTCGATGGCATACAGACGACCACAATTGAATGCAAACACACACACACATACATACACTTACATACACATATGACATACTAAAGTATGAAATGATAACTGTACTTTAAAAAGTACTTCCAAATATTTTAAGAAGTAATCTCCTTTTTCCCATCGTTATAATAATCATTGGATGATAGTAAGTAAGTTGACAATGCTTTTGCTGACTTTCCCAGTTTCTTTTTTTTCATTTTCAGTTGTTATTGTTAAATTTTTATTTTGATTAAACTTGTTTCTGACAAATTTATTTGTTATTCGTTCATTTTTCATCCTCTTTTTCTTTTTGTTTTTCACAGTTTTCACTGAAATTACGAGAGTTACTTCACATTTTATAGCTTCCCTCAAGAGAGTCATCATTCCTCACTCAATTTCAAATTACTATTAGCAATTTATTTTTGTCCATACATTCTGATTTAGTTCTCTTGTCAACTCCCAATGAGTCACCATTCTCATCCCTTTCACTGGAATCAGTTTTCCTTCATTAACTTTATTAAGTATGTTTATCATCTGTTTGTTATTGTATAAGTATATCCAGATAATTGATCTATTTTACGGTACGCCCTCACTTTGTTTGTTACTGGACTATTGTTCAGGAAATGATATTACGGTATAGATTGTATTGCACCGTTGAAACTTAAGTAATGAGGTTTTAGAAGTTCTGAGTTGAAGTATTTGTTGAGCACTGTAAAGTATTTTTAATTTTTTTTTCGTTTCATCTTTCTCCTCTGATTGCTCTTCTTTCAGTATTTTTTCTTCTTTTTTTTTTTGTTGAAAAAGATTACACTAATTTTTTAAATGTGTAGCGCAAAGAGTCTGTCTTAACTTTATCATTGCACTTCAACAAATACCAATATTCATAATTCTCAGCAGAAAAAAAAGAAAAATCGTACTTAATATTTTGCAGAAATTTGCATAAACAAGACGATTTAATATTTAATGTTGCGAGCATTATTTTACGGATATGAGATTTGTTATATAAATTTAGAGAAATTGATTCGTTTTCTATCAATTCCTTCAAGAACTCGTATTTGTCTTAGTAGAGAGAGAGAGAGAGAGAGAGAGAGAGAGAGAGAGGAGGAGAGAGGAGGAGAGAG